TATTGAATGCTTGAATACACTTCCTCTCAAAAAATAAGCAACAGAGGCAAAACACGCAATAAAACAAAAACTATTTAATGAAATTGATCCAAGAGGTTTGTGTAGCATTACTAGATCATATAGCAAACGATAAAGCAAAGACCTACAAAAACACATGCATTACAACCATCACATTGTGAAAGACCAAATAGGTAGGAAGAAAGTGTAATGGTAACATCACGATAATAACAAGTATGATATTCTCTAGCTGAAGTGCATGCTTGACAACGGCGAGGCAAGCTGGAATAGTGTCATTGATCGCTTGTTGTGACCGAAGCACCCATTCATGATGTAATTCATGTTGGAGCTCATGGAAGTTGCCTGGCGGCACACTCAGACCTACTATCCGTCGTCTCAACATGTCTCACACATGGGTATGGGATTCAGGTCCGATGATCTAGCAGGACACGGCAGATATCAAATGGTTTCTCTCTCCAGATAACTCCGCACAACTCAAGCTCTATAAGGATAAGGATAAGGAACGGGGGGACTTGGGCACTATGCCTCTACCATACGGTTAATTAGTGTAGCACCACGTCCACCATGATCTAGAGAACCCTTAAGACAACACTAATTCAAATACGTGAGTACATTATTGAAAATGAATGATTGATTACAAACAATTGTGGTAAACCTTGGCAGTAAAATTGTTGCATTTGTGTAAATAACAAGTTACGATAAAGACAAAGATGTAGTGATAGTCTGTAAAGTGCTAACGATTACTATTCCAGTTGTTGCCATTAAAAGAGGATACTTACTGCTCTAATGGTCATTCCAGAGTCATTTATTCTGCTGCGCAGAGGTCCGTGCCGAGACTGGCTAGCTTCTCCATAATTTTGATGAGCTGCCGGCAGAGGTGCTTCTGTTTGACCATGAGCTTACAGAATGCCTGTGTGTTTGTAGTGGGAATACGTATGTGCATCCCGTTGGTCAGAGAGCAGGTAGTGACGTAATGCTCCGGAGTACCCAGGTGACCGCAGCTGCACTGGTCTGTGTCAGTCGTGCCGTGCCTGGCAAAGTACTCCGGGAAGGGTCCATGGCCTGTAACATAACGGACCAGGTGCGGGTTAGAGTAGAGCCTGGCTGGATTAACATACAAAAGATGATAATGAGTACGTCTGCCGGTCTCAGCAATGTCCCACTCAGCCTGACACTTTGAGAGTGCTTGGAGATGGAGCATTCTTTTTAAGCTAGAGTGTGGCCACGGTAATGCTAGCTCCTCGGCTTCCTTATTTAGGGCAGCGTCTTTCGCAAGGAGGTCTGCTGCCTCATTTCCCATATTGCCTGCATGGGCTTTCGTCCATGTCAGGCGGGCTTCCAGATATTTAAACTGTCGTAAGAGGCTTTGAATTTCCTGGACTATTGAGGAGGAGTGTGCCGGATTTTGCAAGGCTCGCAGAGCTGACATACTATCGGATACTATAACAGCTTTTTTTGATGTTGTTCCTGGCAATATATTGTACTGCTTTCTGGATAGCAACTGCCTCCCCTTGAAAGACGCTGTTGTTCCCGTGAAGATGGCCCTTCCATTGCGTGACTTGCTCCTGGCCTTGAAACGTAACAAACGTGCATCCCACATTGTATCCCATTTTGGAACCATCAGTGAAGATGAGGGTGTTGAACATTTGTATATCTTCTGACTGTCCGTCCATCTTTGAGCCGTCGATGTAAGCATAGGTATTGTGCCTATGGGTCTCGAGAGACTGTTCTTTGATGCTGACGTTTATCCCTATGCATTGTTCGGCCGGGTGCTTGTCTAGGATCATTGCAGGTACTTCATAGTCACTCGGCCAGTACGTTGTATCCTCAAAAGATGCTGGCACGTTGAGCTGTTTGATTTGCTGTAGAACTGCTTCCCGTTCCGTGCTGATGTGTAAGGGAACCACTCCTGCTAGAACGTTCAGCGCATTTGTGGCCGTTGTGCGAAATGCCCTCGTTATATTAAGAGCGAACTGTGGTTGAATGCTGAGCAGGTGCCGGCCCTTTCGGCCCTGCATCGGCTGCGCCCACACGGCCGCACCATATGTTACCATTTTTTCTGTTACAGTCTGATACAGGATCTCATGTATATGGGGGTTAAGGCCCTATCTGTAACCTTGCATATGTCGCAAGCACTTAGCGATAGCCTGTGTGCGTTTCTTTAAATCCATTATATGAGGGATCCAGCTGAGTTTGTTATCGAAGATGAGTCCCAAATATTTAAGCTGAGGCACAATCTTTATCCGCTGATTATTTAGCGTGATGCGCGGTTGACGCGAGAGTGAACCACCTTTTTTGGGGTACAGAACTATCTGCGATTTTCTCTCTGCTATGAGTAATTTATAAGTGCTGCATCTGGTGTTGAAGATGGAGCAGGTTTCGATTCAGTTAGCTTCGAGCTCCCTTCTGGTACGTCCTTTTACAATAAAGGCCGCGTCATCTGCGTAGGCTATTACTTTAGTATGTGATGGCCACTGCTCTGCTATTATGCGATTAAAAGTAATGTTCCACAAGTGAGAGCCCGCGCACGAGCCCTGTGGGCATCCACGGGTTTGCCTCCATTGTAGAATACCACCATTGTGCACTATGATCGTGCTCCTGTCTGATAAGTAGTGTCGGATAGTGCGGTAGGGATTGGAGGGGCATCTGGCATCCGCTAATGCGTTTAGGACGGCGGGCCACCACAATGTGTCGAAGGCACTTTTCAGGTCTAGACTGATGAATGCCGTGTGGTAGCTTCTTCCCTTGTTTGCAAGTATTACATTCTTCACCTCTGCTAGCGCATGGACTGCTGATTTTCCTGTTCTGAACCCAAACTGGTTGAGGCTTAGGTAGTCCGTATAATGGAGGTGATGCCGCAGCCTGTTCATTAAGAGCTTTTCATACACCTTTCCCAACGCGGACAACAGGCAAATTGGCCTGTACGAGTCCGGGTTGGTGGGGTCTCTATTCTTCTTTAAAAAGATAACCGCTTGGCCTACTTTAAAGCATCTTGGAAATGTGCCTGTGTCGTACAGGCTATTGAAGAGGGTCCTGAAGAATTCAATATTGGTGCGAATCACCACCTTAATGATCTTATTGTTGACACCGTCCGGACCCGGTGCTTTTTGGCGACGTAGCTGACGCAGCACTTGCAGAATCTCATGAGAGTTGAATTGCTGATCGTTTGGGTGGTGGGTATCCAGAGCTGTGTTCCGCAAGGAGTGATGTTCTGTTGTGTCCTCCTCCTCATTATCTTGAGGGAAGACCGCATCCAGAATGTCATTTAAAGTGTGTACTGTGGGACTGTCGTTGTAATTTCCTGTTGCTGATAAAAGTTGGAAGTTGGTTGGCATGAACCTTTTTCCGGTGGCCAGCTTGTGGTGGATACCGTATGGGCCTGTACTGTCTGTACAGAAGGCTCTCCATGCGTTTAGTTTTGCCTGAAGAATCATCCTTTTATAAAGTGCCCTTTCTCTTTGAAATGTTGTGAAAATAGACGTCTCTGTGCTGTTGCTCCTCTGCCGTTCTCGTTTGAGTCGACGTCGGGGGGCCCGGCATTTCTTCTGTTGAACTCTCAGTTCACTGGTCCACCAGCTCAGTGTTTGTAGTCTTTTAGTTGATCTCGCTGGAAGAGTTTCCTCGCATGCATCCTGTATAACTCAAGCTCTATGGGGAAGAACGTTATCTTCCATAAATATCGCGTCGGTACCCATTGCAGCGATAAAAAGAAGCGCAAGAGGAGGTAGAATTTCAGCGCCATATCGGAACGGCTGTGACGCAGGTACCAGAAATCACGTAGAAGTTGGTGCGGCCGTTCGTTGCTATTCTAACCCATATAAGTAAGCCTTCTCCTCTGTATTGGTCTCTTTCAACGATATTTGGCGCCCGATAGTGCGTCCCTGGCTATCTCTCTCTTTCTCACTATCGCCATATCTCTCTATCTCACTATCGCCATCTCTCTCTTTTTTTAATGTCAAGCACTAGCCATTTTAAGCTTTGGCCACTTCTAAGGCTAGAAACGGTGATCATTTTATTACTTGAGGGACCTAACAGGCGGCTACCGTTACTTTCTTTGAAGGGACAGACAATTTACATCCCTGCCTTCTCCGGGATTCAAACCCAGGCCCTTCGGTACGGCAATCGGAGTAACTAACCGTTTTCCCGTTAGACTCTCATTTGCCATACCATTGGACTTCGGGAATCGTACTGGGTATTAAATCGAGAGCACTTGGCCTCACTATTCTTTTGTCCAACTGCGATGTTCAAGGCCCTAGTTTAACGGCGTTCTGACATACGATGGGCACAAAGGAACACAAACAACAGGCCGTTGGGCGTACAGTCCACCTTCATACAGCCGTCGAGACACAGTCTGGTGGGATATAGGCCATCCTGCAGTAGTAGAGATATGCGACGCCAGTTGTCGTGATGCCAGTGATCTGCCGCGTCTTGCACATAGCAACAGTAAGCGATTTTCTGCAGCTATGATAATCCTTCGGCGTCCAGTCCCACTTCTTCTATAAGGGGTTTTGATTCCCTTGGTAACGATTCCACAGCCTACTGATGATACTACGATGCACATTCAGCTTTCTCGCAACAGCGGATTGTCTTGTACCAGCTTGCAATATCCCAACAGCCCTCCAACGTATTTCATCGTGCAAATGGTATCTTCCGCTTAGGCTATTTCAGATTACAGGGAACTATCGCTGCTTCCAAAGTGACGCATAGGTCCGGCATGCCCCTTTTCAAGGCGCTGTGGTGTGACACACCACAGTAGTCACACTACTCATTAGCCGAAGCCAATTAGCATTAAATGCAATCCCGGGATTGTGTTTAATGTTAATTTTGGTTGCTTGTTTGCATTCAGCGATGCAACCACCTCATACGCAAATTGTATATTTTAATTCCCCATTTACATTCGTATCTTTTCTTTTAAAGTTCGTTGCTTATTTTTTGAGCACGAATGTATTAAGAAATGATGTTAAACGTCAGTTATTTTTTAGCAGACAAGTTCAGGCAGTAACCAGCGGTGGATCTATACGAGGTACAGTTAAAATATTTGAATATTTGACAGGGAAGAAATCCAGAAAGTCTCAGCTTAGTGAATGGACGTGGAAAGAGCTCACGGATAAAGTCAAATATTCACCGGTAAGAAGTCAAATTAGCGGGTTTTATGATTATTTTTGTCCTTTCTAATACTAAGGTTCAAATAATATAATGACTTGAATCTTTATATAATACGCTGCTTTCCAAAAGTTAAGCACGTGAGGGTAAATTAGGCATAACTACATATGACAAATCATTTGTAATCATTTCTACATTTTTTGTGAAAAAGATTCAGTGTCTTCCACAGTGAAATTAAATGCACCAGTCACTAAAGAAGTATAAAATTCTTACCAATGGGCAACTACAAGCTGTTAATGAATGCAAAGTAATCTAAAAAGTTGTTTTATTAGTCTGTCTGCAGGATTAATTGTAAAAGTGTCTGAAAATACTTTAAACATTTAGCTTAATGACTGAATATACAGCTTTTAAAATTTATGAACTTCAATTTCCAAGATGAAGATGAACAAGTTTATTTACATTAAATAACCACATCTAGGTCGTTTCATTCGATCACTTCCATTTAGCTTTAGATGTTGAGAAAGTCCGCCTCCTCAGAATTTGTTCAATTCCTCCCTTTTTTTTCCGGAAGGGAAGGACTGCTTTGCGAATCTGTCCCTTCTGCTCAATAAGGAGGTGAACCGGAAGGAATTGTAAACACTCATTTGTTGTTGTAAATGATAGTTCCGTCGTTTTCAACAAGAAATAATTTCATATTTTCAGGGGGGCGTGCAGGCTGCCTTTTCTTTACCTGTTAAGCATTTAGTTTTATTTTATGAATAGTGTTGCGGATTTGGTATTTAAATAGTTAATGTTAGTAGAATTATAAATAAAATTATTTTATTCCGCGTGCAGTGCAGCGCGTGACGAATATTAAAAGAAAGATAAGCCGGTAATGCATTTAGCATTTAATAAATAAATATCTCTTATTGATTTCGAAAAAATACCAGAAAATTCTCGCGCATTTAAAAAGCTTACATAAGCGGCATGAAAACCTCTCCATTCGTTATTTAGGTTAGTTGTTGTTTAAGAGTTTGTTTAGAAAACTGCTCTTGTTGACCGTAGCGAATTCGCGGATTAGCTTTCTTTAGCTGTTTTGAATTTAAGTTCTGTTGTGGGTTTGAGTAGTTAAAAGATAACTACTGTGAGATATTTGTAATACTGTACGAATATTTGAGGATATTTAAGCATCTTGTTTTATTTGTTGTGATAATAATAAATTTTTGTTCATTTTTCATCGGACTTGTGCATTCAATTCATAACGAACCCGAACGCACGCAACAATATAAAAAATTTCATTTATTCAAGCTTAAAATTTATCAACATTTTCTGTACTTTTTCTTGTTTAATTTAAATAAACATTAAAAAATAAACCAAATTTAAATAAATTTGCATTTTTCGAGTTTCGGAAAAGGAGAAAGGATAGTCTTCTATCAATGGTTTGGAAGGGTGCGTGGGTCAAAAAAGTTTGAGAACCACTGATAGTAGATCGTGGACTGCCATTCTTCCTATTTTAATTTATAAATACAATTATATATATTTATACAACCAGCCGTATACTAGAAGCTCTTTGTATAAAGCACAACATATCATCATTGCATGAGCTTCGCATTTACTCACACTTCTCACCTTAAGCTCTCTAACAGTGGCTTTCTTTCAGTGCCATCTATTGGGAAATTACACTCAGCTATTTTGAAATAACAATCGGCACGACTGTTAGAAGAACAAATCTCTGCATTACTTTGGTAATGCACATTATCTAAAGTACTCATTACATTTACATTAATCTTATAATACACAATACACATTCGCTATGCATTAAAAAATGCTCATTATGCTTAAATTGACATGATAGGGAACATACTTTAATTTACATGAATAGCTTAAATGCACTCGGATAATTAAGCAGGAAACATAGTCTTTCCAGATTGTAACTAAATACGTAATCAGTTTTAAACATGTGATGCATTATTAGTCCTAAAACAATCGCAATGTAGTATCTTTACTCATTTTGATTATTAATTAAATGAAATACAAGGTTAATCTTTCAAAGATCTCAAATGTCCAAAGTCCTTTTGAGACCTTGCCGATTATCACATTTATGTAGACAAAAAAGGAAAGTTCTTATCCTAATTGCAGTAAAATTTATCATCATTAATCCCTATACGCACTATCTTCGAAGATTTTGTCGAGGAAACTGTCTTGGAAATTGTTCCGTACCTTGGTTGTTATCTTCCTGCTCCTTTTCATCATCAACAAAACCGGACTCGCACTTCTACGGTTTTAGTTGACTCACGTGAGCTGGTGTGATAGGTAGTGGTGAAATAGCTTTTCCGCTCCTTCGCTTCTAATTGCGTTACCCTGTAACTATCACTGGATAATACTTCCATTGTTATAAATGGTCCTCGATGTTTCGATTTTGTTTTAATAAGCTGGCTGTAGCTTTTGGAGCATATCAAATCACAACGATTTCTCTTTGTTCAGATATTACTGTGCAACATCTCTTTCTATCGAATCTCTCTTTCGTTTACGTTTGTTACTCTTCGATTCTTCCTTGTGCTTGTTCTTGGATTTCTCGCAGATTATTCCATATGTAGGGTGCATTTACTACAGAAAGGAAAAGTTATAGTAAAGGCTTAAATGTAAGTTTGATTTATTTGGTTATGGCAAAGCCCACTACGGCTATCTGCTTAAGGGGAGAGGGGCCTTCATGGACGACTTTTTAAGAGAAACTGGCTCGTGTACATGTTATACAGGGAAAATCCACGAAAATGCCCATACAGTCAGCCCGTTCGCCTAGAATCGAACCCAGGTCGAAGTACCAGTGATCAGGGACTTCACCGCCTGGTCGCTGGTAGACCTTAAATCATAATAATTAATTAAAATAAAATGCGTTACACATGTATCTGTGTCTTCATCTGTTAACTTCTTAAGAATATCATCTTAAATGAGCGAATATCCATGAAAATTTCAAATTGTGTTCTATTCGTAATCTTATTTACCATGCTATTAAGATTTTCTTTTTTAAACTTCGTAATTCTTGTATCATGTGCTTGCATCATTACCCACAACTGTCGTATTCTGGGGATTTTGTATTGTTGCCTAGTAATCTTGTTTTGTTCTTCTATCTATTCTCTTTCTTCTCGCTTTTTCCTTTCTTCTTCTGCCATTTTCAACCTTGCAGCATCTTGTTTACCTTTCTACACTAATTTAATCATTTTTCCTTATAATCTAGTGTTATTATTTCTTATGATTATAACTGGGAATTTCGTTCTACCTTTAATAACTTCCAATACTGAATATGGATTTCCAATTCTGTTTGAAATAAAATCAGTCTATTATTTATATCGGGGATTATAGCACGCACAAAATTAATCGTATTATTCTTATTTCCTAAAAATTCTCAGCATATAATTTAACTAGCTGATACCGTCCCGCTTTGCTGGGCGCACTATATAGTATTTGAATGTGAACCTAGACGTCTTATATGGACGAAATGTCTAATTTCAAATTGATAATGAATGTAATATTTTTTAATTTAAAGTCGGGGCATTTAGTGCCAGTCAGTGAATCTGTCATACACAGATTTCCACATCACCCATGAGGTACTGTGTATCGGGATGCGTCCCCATTATTTAACGTGGTGGGATCCCCAGTAGGCCTACACACGAAAAATTGCCAAAATAAAACTAAGGTTTATATATATTTAACTGTTATCATAAGTTTCATGAAAATAAATGTTATTATCTTTGTTATCAAATTTTTTAATCAATTATAATTATTTGTCCTTTATTTTTTATGTATGGCAATTTTTATAAATAACATTTTTATTTTTTATCACAATAGTTTATTTCTCATAATAATAATATTTATTTTCGTGAAACTTATGATAACAGTTAAATATAAATGTTATTATTATCCTTATCATTTAAATGTTGTTTATATTCATTGGATAGATGCAAGTTATTTACCAATTTAATAATTTTAAAGGAAAATGCATTCATTGGCAACATTGTATTTCATATCTAGTTTTGGCAACAATAAAAGAAAATTCTGAACTTGGATTTGAAAACCAAATGTATGAGAAAATTTTATTATATAACAATAATCCATTTTGGAGAGGATTTACGTAAAATCCGTTCTTATTGCGCGTCTACATCGGGGGATGAGTAACTATGCAAAATTTCAAGTCAATCGGATGTATAGTTTCGGAGATCTCGTGATGAGTCAGTGGTCTTTCACTTATATATATATAGATTCGTGTAATATAGCTCTCCCGATAATTAGGTTATATGGTTGTGCATCATCATTCATTATAAACAAATGAGCAATTATTATGGCTTTTCCAATTCGGGGTTGAACATTAACTTTCCCTATGGTCACGGCAGATGCGTAATTTATATCTCTGATTCCAAATTCAATTCTATGCAACTCTCAGTCTGACGCGAGAGGTATTTGACGTCACAAATAAAGCTAGAATATTTACGTTTGGATTTTAAGCATCGCTCTTTTGATATACATGACCGAACTATATGATTTTTAGAGACATAAAAAATATCTGCTATTTTGTTTTAAACTTTCGACTTTCTCGTCACGTTCTTTATCGCAATTTTCAGGACAGTGCTGAGAATTAATTCAAAAAAGTGCAAATATTCTGAAGTACACTTAGTGCATTTGCGTTTAAAATTGTTGTTATTTTTTCCCATTACATTTTTGGAATTCATTTCCCTCATCTGGAAAATTATTAGCCCAAAGAGCGTCAGCCCAAAGGGGCTATTAATTTCATTTTGGCATTTTGCGTTGGTTCACTATAAATGTCGATTCAGTTTTCAAATTGTTGTCACTAAATATTAGAGCCCTGTGTTATATTTAAAGAAATTAAATGATGAAGAACCTGCATAAATGTATGTATGTTTCTCGCGTTGTGATAAAACAACGGTACCTAGAGCATAAAATTTTGAATGACATAAACCTACTGCGAATATGGGCATCTGGAAGCCCAAATTTGAAATTTGGAATTTGTTATATTATCGCTTTCATATTTT